TGAGCGTCACCAATGCCGACAGAGGCAAGGAAAAACTCCCTAAGAGAAAGAGGAATAAACCTTGAGCCAACACTCAAAAAACCAACACTCAAAAGGGGAACCCATCCTCCTCTAATAAACATCACTCTTATGCCTGGGCACAAGGATTAATCATAGCTTGAGAATCTAGTCCTGGGTTAACATAGAAAGTTGAACTTGCTGTATGAAACAGTCCCTATATAGAGAGCTATAAAGAACACATTAAACACACTGTGGTTCCTGTTGAATAGTCTCTAGGACTCTGCCCTGGAGTATCAGTGTTATTGTAACATGAAGGCTTGATATGTAAGTTGCCCAATCACACCAACAGCTTGGGCAGGGTCATCTGGCATGAGCATTTTGCCAACTGGGCTGTGGGATGTAGCACTTAATGAATTGTGAAACATTTGTACAATCTTTGCAAATGCACATCAGGGAAGGAAATTTGTAAGCCAAGGGTGAAAGCACCTTAAGACATCCAAGTTGGAGAAGGGTGGAGGTAAGAAGTGAGAAATGAGAATACAAACTCTCTACTTTTCATTTCAAGAGCTAAAGTGGTTCTTCAGGCGTTCTTGTTATGTTTATATCGGCTAATCACAATCGTCGTTCGTCGTTTTGACAGAATTCCTGAAAACAAACCTATGGTGAGAATAGTGGTGGCAGAATTATTGAAATAAGAAATGGTAGAAATGGGTTAATGAGGAATGTAATGCCTGAATGCCTGACAAATGCTATTTTGGTCATCTGATGCTGTATTTATTTAATTCCTGAAGCTGGACGTTTTGCATTAAACCATATGGATGACCAGACACAGCTCAATAACAAAACTATTAAGAGGCAGTAAAAGTATGATGGTAAGCTAAGCTATATCTGGGTTAATGCATTTGCTAAAATCACTTTAATGTGATAAGTAACAATAACGTTACAGAATAATGTTAAGATCAATTAGCTAACTAGTTAGCTTCTCTTAACCTAGTTGCTGATAGCTTGGTAAATCCGTCTGATTGAACTGGACTGTACAGAGCTCACATTTGTGATTAAAACAATGTGTACAAAGATAAACATTAATGCACCTGTACACATGCCATGCTTCTACTGTTTCATTAAAGTCTGAAAAGTTTGCTCATGTAAAAGACTTGTTCTCCTCAGCATCATCTCCTCCTCCTCCTTCTCAGTGGGTCAGCTATTAAACTCTCTTTTGCATGGATTCTTTGTCATCTTCTTTTTCTTCTTCTTCAGCATATTATTAATCAGGTGTAGTCTCCATGATGGAGAACCGTTGTATGTACATAGACCCTTTTTAGTTAAGAGTGTATTCAGCTTTATAAGACTGGAAAAAAACACTTTCTTTTGGTCCTCGGGCCACTAACTTCTTTGGCTGCTCCCAAAAAGGTCTAGTGGGCGCAGTCCTAATGCTTGTGCAATGACTCGAGGCTGGATTCCGGGCTGACAGTGCTGTGTAATGTATGAACTAGTGCAGGGCCTGTGTAATAGAGAAGTGTAATGGCTGAACTGCTTCGCTGTGAATGGGAGTGGTGCGTTTTCATTCCGCAGAAAATGAGAGCCGACAGCGTGCAAGCAGGCAGCGATGGCTTCTAATCATGAAGGTTGAGAGCGTGAGAGCGAGCCTCTATTGTAAAGAAGGGAGGATGAAGTGGAGGTGTACTGGGGGAAAAAAGAGGCTTTAAAACAAACATAGAGACCACAGAGAGTCAGTCTGTCTGGCTCTGTTCTAGGTGGTGCTGTGGAGAGCAAAGACAAAAAAGAGGATGGAGCACTAAAGAACAGACGAAGAATGAGTGGGAGAGACTGAAATCTGAGATAAACATAAAAAAAGAAAGAAAAAAGAGGGTTGGGCTGATGTTGTAGAGTGGATACTGCTAGTGACTGCTTTACAGCCTGGAGGGCTATGAATTATGGGTAGTGTAGGCAGAGGAGTGTATATATCTCTAACATGTGATGTGGGTGCAGAGAGCAATGCACATTACATCTCGACAGGCCAGTTTCTCTCAGTGACACACCTAATATCTCGTACATCTACTGCCTCTACTACAGCCCCTCCCCCCTTAAGGGAGGGAGAGAGGGAGAAGAACGCTCTGAGCTTTATCAATAAAGAACTGAAAGACAGTGGAACAAATTCAGAGCAGGAGCAGGACTGTTTTGAGTAATGATGATTATCTGATGTCACTGTGAGGGAAAAAAGCAAAAAGAATGGTGGGGGCCTATGGGCGATAGAACATTATGTTATTGTTATACTGATAAATTACATCACGACATGCTTTCCTGAGCACATCACAGGTATCATCAGTATGACTAAAACAATGACTAACAGAAATAAAAAAAGATTTAGAGCACCTCTAAACGAGAACAAGTGGTGTCAGTATCAAACTAAATCTGCATAGTAACAAGTCAATTGGATATCGGTCTAGTATGAAAATATGATAATTAATAATTTTGTATAATACATTATTTTGTTAGAAATAATCTTTTTCTCTTTCTCCTTATGTTTAACAAAACAAAATACTTATAGTTTTAATACATACAGAAAGAGACCAGAAGGAGCATCGTCAGGGTATCTGAAAGTAAATTAAATTGAATGCTTTTTATATCAGCTTTAATGCTGAAATTTCGAAGAATTAATGCTGTTTTATGCAGAAACCTTAACTATATAAGTAGTCTTAGTACCACTGTCACGCTTATGCTAATTTATACTTGCACTTCTAAGGGAATTTCGATGTTAGCACCAAGCTAGCGGTGGTGTACATTCCCACACAGAAGTTAATACTGCTTAAGCCAGCTCTACTTAAACATGGATACTTGAAACTTGTAACAGACATTCAAGCGGCATATTCTTTACTTTACATGTTGCAGTACAGTTTTTGCAAACCCTCTGGTAAAGCCTCTGAATATTACTGTACAATACATGTGTATTATATATGATACAATTTTACTTCCTATGCCATGTACAAACATGCACCAATCCTGCTGGTGTGGGTTTCCTCTTTTTTGTGATGCACACAAAAGTACCTTGGCGCTAACAGATCCCCCTGGAGAATGCTCAGTCAGTAACCATCGCTTTATAGTGACCTGCAGAAACCTTGTTAACCATTCAAACTGTGAACTAATCATTGTCAATTCATCGAAAACATAAATCTTAAATGATGATTTCTTATATTAAGTAATTCATTTGATTAAGTCATTGCAACAGCCTTAATGGTAATATGTAATACAGTGGAGTCCAAAAGTCTGAGACCACACTGTAAAGTTTGTATTTTTTTCATTTAAACTTGGAAAGAAACAGAAAGTTTTAGAATCTTGAAAAATTTAAAACAAAAAATTCTATTATTAATTTGTTTCAATTTGAAGAAAATTAGAAATTTACCATGTTAAGGCCTTTATACAAAAAGGTCAGACTGTCTTATTAGTTAGTTGAAAAACACATGTTCAAACAACTCTCAGGTGGATCTGATCTACTGATCAGAAGCTTTTGCATAAACTTAGAGAATCCATGCCAGCTTGTGTGCACATTGTCAATAAAGGAAAAGAGGGGCATACAGTAACTACAACTTTTGGACCCCACTGTATGTATTGTGAGTCTTCAAATATCACAATATTACGTTTTTTTCCCATGGCTCCTACTGTCCCATTACTGTGACAATGACAATGTCAATGTCACATCGTCCACCTCTAGGCTACTTTCTCTTATGTTGGCCTACAGGGAGAGAGAGAGACTCAGATAACCCCTACTTCTGTGAAGTGTTTAATGTTAGGAGAGCTCAGCCAAAACTAATGACATTCCTTTACTCTGAACCTCCCCGCTGCAGAACACTGCGTCAAGACATGTGAGAGTGCATGAGAGCTAGTAAGTTCTGTACTAGCAGTGGTTTTAGTGCCAGTGTATGACCTGTATTGATGTTTGCGTGATGCTAAGCTAACTTTAATATCCAATACTCACTCATGCAGCACACACACACCAGCTGAACACATTTATACTTCCACTCCACAGCAAGCACTCAGTATCACTACATCATTCATATCAGCTCATATCTCCTCCAGAACCGCCCTAATCACAAACGTTCCGCACTACCTCATCCATCTGCTTACAGCTAATCATCAGGAATTCGCCTGAGCAGCGCTTCAGACTATTCGTCTCACAAACTCTACCTGAAGACACGGCCAAAGCCTGAAAACCCTGAAATTTTTCCTCCTGCACCTTCATCTTCTGCAAGAAAAACAAGGCTTCCTGATCATGGAGAAGGTAGTTTCTATATAGCACAATACAAGCAAAAGCCTCTCAAGTCATTGGTAGGAGCAGGTGGTGTTGGCCTCAATCAGCACCAATGTGGTTCAAATTAAATGCTTTTTAAGTCAGCTTTAATGCTGAAATTTTGAAGAATTATTGCTGTTTTATGCAGAAACTTTAACTATATAATTAGTCTTAGTACCACAACCTTGCTTATGCTACTTTATACTAGCACTTCTAAGGAAATTACAATTGCTGCCATAATAAAACCAGAATGGTAAGATTATAGGAGAAGGAAAAATACATTTTAATGTAACTTAGGAACCTTGAAAGGTTTGTTTTTCATGTTTTCTATCAGTTTGTCCATCATGAAATATTCATATACTGTAAAGGGCAGCGTTTTCAAGAGTCACAAGGTTTTCTTATAGCATGACAACAGATTAGTCTAGCTACTTTTTTCAAAATCAATCAGAAAATTCAAAGTAGAACAAAAACTGGATCAGCAAAGAAAAAGCATATGATGGCTGTGGTTCTTAACCCAAATACAATTCCAGAAAAACTAGGTGGGGGTGGGGCATGGACCACACCTTGCAATGCATTTCAAGATATGGTCCATGCTTAACTTTATGTGTTTAAGTGAGTCCTCCCCTCCATCTCCTGGGGCATTTCTCAGTAAGATTGCAGATTCACTGTCTTGATGTGTTTTCTCCTCTAGAAATATGACCTACTGAGACATTACCTTCATCCCATCTGTCTTCAGGGCCGTTGGGGTCGTCGTCATGGGCCACGCTGTCTCCATCAGCTCCATCCAGGGGGCTCCCCTCTTCTTCCACGATGTGAAGCTTATCCTCATCATCAGAGTCTGACTGACCTTCTAGTACATGGCTGTAGTTACTCACTGCACACAGAGAGAGAGAGAAGGTAGAAAATGTTCAGATGTGTTTATAATAAGAATGCAGTGGAGGGTATAGAGAAAGAGTGGAATTGAGCGGTTAGATAAAATGAACAATGAATGAGTAAAGGTGAGTGAGAAATGAAAAGTAGGAATGCTGGAGAGTAAAGAAAAGGAGAATGGCCAACAGTGGAGCAATGATTTCATCCAATCTGCCCCCTGCGAGGTCGGACAGAGAAGGGGGGGTAATGGTCGGCGCGCAAAGAAGAAAAGGCTGATTAAAGAGAAATGGCTGGACAGGGAGAGGGAGAGAGAGAGATGGAGGACGGTGCTTCAGGTAGTAATTTGTTTCTTGGGCTGGGAGCAGTGGGCAGTGCCTGAATGAGTTTATCAATAAGCCAATGGACGAGAGACAGAGGACGAGTTAGACAGAAGGACTCGCGATTACATCAATCAAACTCTGGGGCAGGTTGCATGCAGACCGGCCCATGGGCATACCCACATACCTGCAGCACAGTCACTGAGTCTTTAATACACACTGAGAGATTAATGAAAGAGTCACAGTAATGTCTGTGACTTGCATTATAACCTACTGGCTCTTAAATTGGGGTCCAAACTTAATGGACAGAAGGAATAATTTTACACTACAGGTAAATCTTAAAGACCAATAAACGGGAGAGAATCAGAAGAGTGTTGATCCAAACACACTCAACCATTTTTTTTTGGTTTATTTTGCTCAATCTCTGTCATAATTATATTACGTAAATACGTGAGGCAGTTACGATGCATTTGTGGTGGATCTGAATGCTGCTGCTAAACCTATACCAAAATGTCATAACATTATGCATGACTCTAAAGCAAAACAGCCATATGCCTCTTACCTTTAATGAAGCTTCTTATTAGGTTCATGTCATTTAAAAAGGAAACTAAATTTTTTCAGCTTAAAATGGCAGTTTGACCTGTTAAAGAGCACATATTTATTAATATTGTGGCTTTTGGCTGACAGTAAGTACTGAAAATGAGTTAGTGTGTTTCATGTGTGCCTGTAGCCCACACACTGCAAACTTCAGGTTAAAAGTAAACAAAAAAGCTGATAAAAATCAGAAAAAAATGCCAGTTAAGCTGTAAAGACATCAGAAACGGCCATAAGAATTCATGATCAAACTAGAACGCAAGAGCTGAAGTTATTCAAACATACAAAGGTGTTGTTATTGTTACAATGCTGATATACTTGAAAAGTGTATTTGTTCAAATAGTTTACATGGGTTGTAAACAACATGCTGCAAATCCACATAATCAGTAAAGCAAGGCTGCCGATGGTCCCTGAAGAGTTCACATCTCTTTATACGTTATTTAACTCATACCCACACTGTAAAAATGATGCAGTTTTTAACTTAAAAAAGTAAGTAACCTGGTTGCATTGAACTTTTACAAGTATGTTAACAGAACAATATGTGTTTTACACTCTGTTAACTCAATAGTAGTTCAATGACCTCAAAATTTTAGGGCAACCAGGTTACTTTTTAAATTGAATAATTTTTTTACAGTGCATAAAGACAAAGCAAGTCTTTCAACTATTATTACCTACTTGAAGTTATGAAGACGGTCTAGTCTGAGTGCTCAACTTGATCATCAAGGGCTGCAGAGCTACATTTGCTCCAGCCATGCACAACACCCCCTGTTTTCACTAATGAGCTCGCACACTTAACTAAGAAGGGAGCCTAATTAGGCAAATTAGGTTCTCTGGCATATAGCTGGAACAAATAGCGGCAAACATTGTGGAACTTGTTGAAAAAGTCACAGGATTTGTATTCATCATTTTACTATTTCTGTTAGTCATCAAAGACTGACACCCCATTTAACATAGTTCTAATACAAAGCCTACTGCTGTGTACAGATCTTACTGTGTAAAGGATAGAAGGATTTTGCAGAAACGTAAAGTAAATTCAACAGAATACTGAACTCCTATTACCTTGATCAAGACACCCCAACAAAAAGAGGGCAATATGGCAAAAATATAAAGGTGCTTGAAGATATTTAAATTATGATACTTGGCCCTATATGGCTCACTACGCACGTTGCAAAGGGCCCCGCAAATTAAAGCTGCTCACTGGTCATCTGGTCAAAAAGAAAAAAACAAAATAGGACTGAATTGTGGGAACATGTGTTCTCTCCTCTACAAATTTGATGTAAGCAAACAACGATAATGTTTAACAAATAAAAGTTGATGTGCCAGCTGGGCAGTGCATCTCTCTCCTGTCTGACTGTCTCACTAACATATTACGTTTGATGGATGACAACAGGTAACAGTGTTTACAAACTGAAGCTTGTAAGAAACAACTGCGTCACATGACGATAAAAATCTATTCATATGTGCGTGCGCGAAATGAAACTGGAGACCAGTCGTGTCCAGACAATATATGGGCATGATGACACACTCCTCATAGGTGCGCATAATTTTAAAACAAGACAATGTTTATCTGGTGAGGATTGTAGTGGGAGCACTGGGGTGTCAGGTATGACTGTGTGGTAAATGGTTTACATGGCTCACAGGTCAGGTAGGAGGGCCCCTTTATAGAATTTTGCTTAGGGCCCCAGGGAGGTCAGGACCGGCTCTGTAGTTCATTTTTTGACATTTTTTTTTTACGTGATACAGACATTTGACAAGTCACCTTAAAAGCTTAGTGAATATCCATTTAAGAAACAGTCTACGTAGCACTTCCAGACAACCTTAACCCTGACTAGGGTTTCTTTATCATTTCACATCTGATCTCACCCTTTTCCGTCCTACCACTAATGTCTCTTTTCCTTTTTTTTTTTTACTATAAAAGGAGAATTGAGTGACCTCCATCTCTGCGCTGTACACCTGAGGGGACGATAGATAAGGGTAAGCAGCATTGATTTTTCTGTAGCCAGCCAGACGACCTTAATTAGCAATGTGTGTGGACACGCACGTGTTTGTGTGTGCGCAAGAGTGAGTGCGCTGGGCTCAGCGTGACGTGACATTCTATTAGAAGAGCGAATGACGGAGCGCTAGCCCTGCCTAACGAGTTCTCATTCGTTAAGGTAAGTGCTGCTTGAACATAGCCACTAATACTGGCAGCATAAATCAAGCTTAAAGAGTCAGATTCTTAGCCAGCGTCAGCAGAGTGTGAGAGAGAGAGAGGGAGGTGGGGCGGAGGAGACATAACCTTAAATATGAAGTAAATGATATCCTGGAATGTCCTCTGCCCGCCTACTGGTGTAATCTCAAATGAAACCAAGTCGGGAAAACAATGATGGCAATAAGATGATATCACTTCAGCCACGATATGCCTTTCTGAGCAGATCATGGGTGCAATCAATACTTGAACACTGAACAATAAACATTCCCTTTGTACAATAATTTGAATCTATTGGTAGTTTAAAGATGAATACAACAGAAAATATTTACTTAATTATACGCTTTACAAACAGATCACCTGAGTAACTACACAGATGCATACTTTCAGTTTGGCAAAGGATGCTGAGGTACATCCAAAATGAAACAAACAAATGCCAGTACATCAGATCTACTCTATGGTAGAGAAATGGAAGAGCTTGTCCAAAGGAAGGGTGCCAATGCACCAGTTTGGCAATATTTTAGTTTCCAAACAAACAAACGTGGAGAACCAATGGATGTTAACATTGAATGGTTTAACCAATAGGTGTTAGCATGCCATCTGTGCAGAATATTGTTATTATTATAAATTATAAAGTAATATCAGGAGCTTGCCAAGTTGGTAATTGTGTTGTAATTATATTACCATCAAGGAAAATTCAAGCTACGGGGTAAGGCTGCAAAATGCTCATACGTGGTACTTTGTAACTAAATTTGGATGACAATGACATATTTTATTGCAATACCAACAAAGCTTTACATCCTGTGAACAACAACAATCAGTGTAATGGCGTAGACGTGTACATACATGTAGTTGACTGAACGTCACCTCACAATGCCATTATCTTGTTTTATTTATCTTTGCTATCTTCTTTTTATTTTCTTCCTGTTCCTTTTTGATGGTTTATAATCGTTTGCAAATGTTAATTTTAAAAAATCATCGCACTTTTAAAAATCACACTTTTTACAGCCTTTTCTAAATGTGATATTTTGTGGTGTATTTTGTCTGTTCCAGCCCAAAACACAAAATACTGTGATATACAGTGTAACATAATGTCTTCATGACTCGTGTTTTTTTTCCAGTATTTCCCCCTCTTGAGAACTAGCCTCCATGACTACCTGATAGCTCTGAAAAAAAGCTGAAAAAATGCTGGGATTTTTACAGTGAGATTCACATTATGAAGCCTACAGGTCCTTCTGGGTGTAAAGCAATAAGGAGGTGTTTGCAGCAACCACATCTTTACTACCTTGGAAAGGCTCCCAATTCCTGTTAACAGACCCAACAGAAGACTATAGTAAAGAAAATGAGTGTGAACGTGGATGTTCAGACACACTGCCTGCAGGAGGGAGAGTACGTAGGCCTGTCTATAGAGCACTGCATGTGTGCGAGTCTGTGATAGCACAGCTTTAAGATAAGTGAGTGGGTGAACCCTGATAATGCACTTACAATGAAAACAGTTTCTCACACCCTCCTGTGCTCCTCCAGTGTGTTAAAGAAGAGGGACGTAACAGTGTTAGTATAAAAATCAACATATTTCCCTCTAACAAAGTCTGGCAAAGCATTTCTCAAAATCAGTGCATATAAAAGCACTCAGTGGAAATTTTAAGTGAAAGTGTTTGTGATAATAAGAAAAGTGTGAATTAGAACTGGAAATATTTGCCTGAACCTGACAGGACCTCACTGTTCATAAGGTTCCACTGGGTTTCTCAAATATTTGTGGAGCTCACGTCAGGCTCAAATTTTATGTTCAGGTTTCTCAGTCTGTCTCCAACCTTTAAAGGATTGTGGCCTGCGTTTGCCCCGTGTTCATTTTCTTCTCCCTACTTTGATTCTTTCTCCGCACTTTAAACGTTTTTTAATCTGGAT